CTACGGAATGCCCAAGAAGATGGATATCACAGACCATTGGGAGCTACGCAGTGGTATCGCCCTCGCTTTTGGAGCTATGACAGATCTTTTTGAAGGCGAGCAGATCGTCTCCTTCCTCCGATTCTTGATTGAAAGAGGTCCTCTTATCGACAAGAGTTCCGCCGTCCGCGCACAGATGGCCGAGAGCGGCAGATCTGTCATTGCTGCCCGTGGGCAACAGAAAGTCGAGGAATTAATGAAGCTCTTGGAGACAACCTTGGAGACCTCCGACAAAGGAAGTGAGACGTCTGATCTTCTTAACGAGGCCGTTGTTGTCTTGTATGGTTCCCTGGCCCAGCATCTCAAAGCGGACGATCCGCGTCTGCAGACAGTCATCAAGAGGCTGCTGGACACTCTTCCTACTCCTTCGGAGAGTGTGCAGTCTGCCGTTTCGGGATGTCTGCCGCCTCTGATCCGCCTTTCGCGCCCTCAGAGTGGTGAGTACGTCCAAGAAATGCTGGATCAGCTGCTGCAGTCCAAGAAATATGCTACACAGCGTGGCGCGGCTTATGGACTTGCTGGTATCGTCAGCGGTAGGGGTATTGTCACCCTTCGAGAATTCCAAGTCATGTCGCATCTGCGTGATGCCACTGAGAACAAGAAGGAACCCCATCAGAGACAAGGTGCTCTGTTGGCATATGAGCTGTTTGCCGCCATTCTGGGACGGACCTTCGAGCCCTACGTCATCCAGATTGTTCCCCAGCTTCTGGCTGGTTTCGGTGATGTCAACCCCGACGTCCGTGCTGCCTGCCTTGATGCAGCAAAGGCTTGCTTCTCGAACCTTAGCTCGTATGGTGTCAAGCAAATTCTTCCTACCCTTCTCGATGGTCTTGACGACACACAATGGCGCAGTCAGAAGGGAGCCTGTGATCTCTTGGGAGCGATGGCCTACCTCGATCCCCAGCAACTCGCGGCAAGCCTTCCGGACATTATCCCTCCGCTCACTGTCGTCCTCAATGATACCCACAAGGAAGTGCGCAATGCTGCAAACCGCAGTCTTCAGCGATTCGGCGAAGTTATCAGCAACCCCGAAGTCAAGAGCTTGGTTAATGTACTTCTGAAGGCGCTCAGCGACCCCACCAAGTACACCGACGAAGCCCTGGATGCCCTCATCAAGGTCTCCTTCGTCCACTATCTGGATGCGCCGTCCTTGGCTCTTGTTGTTCGCATTCTTGAACGTGGTCTTGGCGACAGGTCGAACACGAAACGTAAATCTGCTCAGATCATTGGCAGTTTGGCTCACCTTACAGAGCGCAAGGACCTCACAGCCCATCTACCAATCATTGTTTCGGGCTTGCAGCTTGCTATCGTCGACCCTGTGCCGACTACTCGTGCGACCGCTTCCAAGGCTCTCGGTTCCCTTATCGAAAAGCTTGGAGAGGACGCTCTTCCCGACCTCATTCCCAACCTCATGTCTACGCTCAAGTCGGATACCGGAGCCGGCGACAGACTGGGATCTGCTCAAGCTCTTTCAGAGGTTCTGGCAGGTCTGGGTACAACCAGACTCGAGGAGACGCTGCCTACTATCCTACAGAATGTGTCCAGTTCCAAGGCTTCTGTTCGCGAGGGTTTCATGACGCTCTTTATCTTCCTTCCCGCCTGCTTCGGAAACAGCTTCGCCGCCTATCTCAGCAAAATCATTCCTCCTATCCTTGCCGGTTTGGCTGACGACGTTGAATCTATTCGTGAGACCTCTCTCAAGGCAGGTCGCTTGCTCGTCAAGAACTTCTCATCGAAGGCCATTGATCTCCTTCTGCCAGAGCTTGAGCGCGGTCTTGCGGATGACAGTTACCGCATCAGATTGAGCTCCGTCGAGCTGGTTGGTGATCTTCTCTTCAGTCTCACTGGTATCACAGCCAAGACCGATGCCGAGGAGGAAGAGGAAGAAGCGGCTCAAGCTGGACAGTCGCTGCTGGAGGTTCTCGGAGAGGAGAGGAGGGACAAGGTCTTGTCGGCACTGTTTATCTGCCGCTGCGATACTTCGGGTATGGTCAAGAGCGCTGCTATGGCCGTCTGGAAGTCACTTGTTGCTTCTCCTAAGACGCTCAAGGACATGGTTCCCACTCTGTCTCAGCTCATCATTCGCCGTCTCGGTTCCTCCAACATGGAGCATAAGGTCATTGCTAGCAACGCGCTTGGTGATCTTATCAAGAAGGCTGGCGAGTCGGTTCTCTCTGCTCTGCTTCCCTCTCTCGAAGAAGGTCTCCAGACTTCGCCCGACGTGGATGTCAAGCAAGGTATTTGCATTGCTTTGAGAGAACTCATTACTTCCGCCTCCGCCGAGGCCCTCGAGGATTACGAGAAGGTTCTTATCTCGACTGTTCGGGTGGCGCTCGTTGATAATGACGAAGATGTCCGCGAGGCTGCAGCCGAGGCTTTCGACGCCCTGCAGCAGATCCTGGGCAAGAAGGCAGTGGACCAGGTCCTGCCTCATCTCTTGCTTCTTCTGAGAAACAACGAAGATGCAGAGCAGGCGTTGTCCGCACTTTTGACTCTCCTCACGGAGCAGACCCGCGCGAATATTATCCTCCCCAACCTTATCCCGACGCTCCTCACCTCTCCCATTTCCACATTCAACGCGAAGGCTCTTGCTTCCCTAGCTGAAGTCGCCGGCTCTGCCATGACCCGCAAGCTGCCTACCATCCTCAACTCCTTGATGGACGAGATTGTGTCCACTAAGGACGACGCTCACCGCGAAGAACTGAGCAATGCCTTTGACACGATCCTGGTTTCGGTGGACGAGTACGATGGCTTGAATGTCATGATGAACGTCATGATTACTCTGATGAAGCACGATGACCATCGCCGCCGTGCTACCGCGGCCATTCATCTCGACAAGTTCTTCTCGAATGCAGAGATCGATTACTCCAGGTACCACCAGGATCTGATCCGTGTCCTGCTCATCTCCTTCGATGACAGCGACAAGGATGTCATCAAGGCCGCGTGGACGGCGCTCAGTGGACTCACGAAACATTTGCGCAAAGAAGAAATGGAAGTCCTTACCATCTCCACTCGCCAGACCTTGCGGAGTGTCGGGGTTCCGGGTGCCAACCTTCCTGGCTTCAGCCTGCCGAAGGGTATCACAGCCATTCTGCCTATCTTCTTGCAAGGTCTTCTGAACGGCAGCGTCGAGCAGCGTACGCAAGCAGCTCTAGCCATCGGCGACATCATCGATCGCACTGGCGCAGACTCTCTGAAGCTGTTCGTGACCCAGATCACTGGTCCCCTCATTCGTGTTGTGTCCGAGCGATCGGTGGATATTAAATGTAAGTTGCTTTCTGAATTTCTGCTTAAATTATATTCCATACTAATTGGCTACACTAGGCGCTATCTTCTTCACCCTCAACAAGCTTCTGGAGAAGATTCCCCTCGCTGTCAAGCCCTTCTTGCCCCAGCTTCAACGGACCTTCGCACGTGGTTTGGCTGATGCATCCAGCGAGACTCTGCGTAACAGGGCCGCCAAGGGTCTTGGTATCCTGATCACCCTGACACCTCGTGTGGACCCTCTCATTGCAGAGCTTATCACGGGTACCAAGACGGAAGATGTCGGTGTGAGAAACGCGATGATGAAGGCTCTTCAAGAGGTGGTAGGCAAGGCCGGCGCCAACATGAGCGAGGCATCGAAGAACGCCATTCTCGCTCTTATTGACGACGATGCCAGTGATCAAACGGATGCTGTCGCTATTACGAACGCGAAGTTGCTTGGTGCACTAGTGAAGGTCCTCCCGGCCGCCACTGCTGGCCCACTGATCAAGAACCGGGTCCTCACTGCCACACCTTCCCACGCATCGATTCTGGGTCTCAATGCCCTATTGGTTGAGGCTCCGTCGTCCTTGACAGAGCACTTCTCCGCGGAGACTCAGGCTATGATCTGCCAGGGTGTCACGAACAAGGATGTAAGTACTTAGGTTCGAATCCTATTCGAGAAATGATGCTAATCCTACGCAGCCCTTCATTTCCGACAACAGCGTCCTCGCTGCCGGAAAGTACCTCCTGATCGAGGATGAAAACCGCAACTTCGAAGACAACAAGGCCATTTTCGAGGCCTTGGCGCCTTGCATTCAGCCCGGTACGCCGTCTGATACGCGGCGGTTGTCTCTGGTGGTGATGCGCACGGTCAGCCGGCTTCACCCCGAGTTGACTCGGCCTCACCTGGCCCTCTTGGCGCCACCGATTTTCGCCAGCGTTCGCGACGTGGTCATTCCTGTCAAGCTGGCCGCCGAGGCAGCATTCCTGGCGATCTTCTCTGTGGAGGAATCCGAAGGTGCAGTCTTCGATAAGTACATGGCCGGACCCGGAGCTTCGCTGCCACCGGGACCCAAGCGGAGCATGTCGGACTACTTCAAGCGTGTCGCGCTCCGTCTTGCCGCCCAGGCCCGCGAGCGCAAGGAAGCGGAAGGTGGACAAGGAGGGTTGGGGCTGTCCAATGATGAGGTAGAGGATGAGAGGGAATTGTGGAGCATTGGAAAGGTTGATCTCGGGGATGGGTCGTTTGGGGATGAGTGAGTGGTGTCGAGGTGGGCTAGACACTGAGACGATTTAGATCTACTGGCTTTCTATCTGCTACTATCTATACCCTTCTGGTTGAGTAAGGGGAAAGAGTTGAGTGACGTTGTCTCCCAACTCCAACGATGAAAAGAAAAGCATGTTGATACATATTATGAGATGAAGCAATGCATTGTTTTGAGTTTCCGCGGGTTTTCCATGGTCGGATTTGATGTCAGCCTCAGTCATCCATACGTAACTGATACAACACAAGTACACAAGCCGGAGATCACGTGGAACAGCCGGAATGGCGCATCTGCCCGAGTTGGTCCACCGCCGAGCGACGGATAGAAGACGAGTCGTGCGCTGAGAAGGTGAACATCCAAGAAGATTTGATGATATAGATAGTAATCCCAATCCATACCAACGTTCTAATCAACCCAACATCTGTAGCATGCTCCAGCTGGATGCTGTAAGGCGCCGTTGCGGCTCCCGGCGGTGTTCCCCGGATCGGGACAAGCGTCTGGGGCACGAACCCTAACAGAGGGTTTTGCTGGTCTCGCTTAGCAGACACAACCGCTTAGCTAATCAGCCGCCGTATCTCAAACTCCTCGCCCTGGGAATTCTACCCGTCGACGAGTGCAACGAACATCATCCGCCAACGACCGTCGATACGCCGACATCAAGATGTGAGTCCATCTCCAGCTCTTGATTTTTGCTGCATCAAGGGGGGGAATTACTGTTCTTCGCTGGACTGTATACCATCCCCCCTCTTCCCCCGTGCACACGCCCCGGATTCGCCTCAAGATGGCGCTTTTTCGCAGCAGCAGCAGCAGCAACCCCCCGACCGGTTTGGACTTCATGCTGACCGACTGCTTTTTTTTGCACCACACAGGGTCAACCTTCGCACCCAGAAGCGCCTCGCCGCCTCCGTGGTGGGCTGCGGCAAGCGCAAGATTTGGCTCGACCCCAATGAGATGAATGAGATCTCCAACGCCAACTCCCGCCAGACCATCCGCAAGCTCGTCAGCGATGGCCTCATCATCCGCAAGCCCGTCACCATGCACTCCCGCTCCCGTGCCCGTGAGCTCGCCGCCGCCCGCCGCATCGGCCGTCACCGTGGTCTCGGTAAGCGCAAGGGTACCAAGGAGGCTCGTATGCCCAGGTATGCACATTGTCCTCACCCTTGAGTGCCGTTGCAAGGATTTTTCTCGGTCGCCCACGACTCAGCGAGATATCATCTGCGAAGGGAAAATGATGAAACGAATGTGTGCTGATGGATATCGGATTAAAGCCAGATCCTCTGGATGCGCCGCATGCGTATCCTCCGTCGCCTGCTCGTCCGCTACCGTGCCTCCGGCAAGATCGACAAGCACCTGTACCACGAGCTCTACCACCTGAGCAAGGGTAACACCTTCAAGCACAAGCGTTCCCTCATTGAGCACGTAAGTTTCGCCGCCATGTTGTTCTTTCGCTATACCCCGGAGAATAGGAGACGGAACGGGTTTATACGATCATTCTATCTGGACGATAAGGAAATAGGGGCTAACATGATCTCTTTCCGTACTACAGATCCAGAAGGCCAAGGCTGAGCGTCACCGTGAGCGCGTCCTCAAGGAGGAGATGGATGCTAAGCGTGCCAAGAACAAGGCTCTCCGTGAGAGACGTCTGGAGCGCAAGGAGGCCAAGCAGAACGCCCTCGTTGCTGAGGCTCAGGAGTAAATCCTCTCAGATAACGAACTTGGGCGGTGCGGAGGTTGAAACGGGGGAGGGAATCGATCAGCCCACGGACTTTGATCGACCACTCCGTGTTCGTTGCAGGTCTGGTTCGGTGGCTCGATTCATCCGGGACGGGGTTGTTTGGATCGTATCGGGAGCCTGGAACAGGGTTGGGGATCAAGGATATGCACCATCATCACCATCATCGTCATCCCCGTCTCTTCCTCTTCACGGGGAAGAGCATGTGAAAGGACCACGCAAAAAAAAGGAAAAAGACCTAACTGTTAAAGCAAAACAATGGCATGGCGCTTTGTGTGATACGAAATTTCCAATTTTTTTTTACTATTTCTTCATCCTTTTCGCCAACTTTTCTTCCTTTCCTGGACCGTGCAAAGAAAAAAAGAATTCGCCCTTGCACTGCTTGCTTGCTATCCGATATCAAATCCAGCCCAACTCCCGCCCGGATATAATCTTTCCCTCTTGCTGCCTTTTCTCCTAAAGCACTCGCTGCTTCTTCTTTCCTCTTTTCTTTACCTCTGCACTGAACATGTAATGTCGTAACGCACATCCTGAATATCATTCCGAGGGTTAACACACAACGTTGGTGCCTTGTAATGGTCTAGAACGTATATCTTGTAGTTTACGCAACCTCCCTAAACTATTGAGTTGCAGCCAAACCCCCTCCTCCCTCTTCTTCAATTACGTCAAAACCAGCCCGCCCCTCACATTCATTCAGCCTGGAATGGATTAAGTCCATCATCCCCACTTTCTTGACTCTCAGCACAGCTACTAGTAATACTTCATGTCTCTTCCTGTTGTATTTTATTAGGAGAATCATAATTCCGATTACTATATAATTGGACTTCGTTGCATGCACTCTTCTAATTTATTCTTATTTTTTATCTCTTCTACTCTCTCGGCTTGTCGAATCTACGTTGGTCTGTGTGGATTCCCTCCCCCACTACGTACTCGTAGTTCCCGTCAGAGTTACTTGGAAGGAAAAAAAAAAAAAAAAAAAAAAAAAAAAAAAAAAAAAAAAAAAGTATCTATAGCCTATTACTGGATGTCATATTGAATAATCTCATAGCGATAGTATGTATTATATAGGAAATTCTCTTAGTAGCTAGTAGTGGTGCTGCTACTATTACTTACTTGCAGAAGTTCTCAGCTTGAATTCGGCGGTTAAGTTGTGGTGGGGAATCGCGGGGATACTAGTACCTACGGAGGTAAAAAGCAAGGATATATATATATATCCAGGCACTACTTGCTATGAAGTACCTGGCACCACCATCAAACTAAATATCAGTTGTTAAACGTATGAAGCATACTAATAGCTGAGAAGATGACCTGAGAAATAACTATCATTGGATTTATTCAAAATCAGCTGAGTGACGGTTAGTCCACTATTGCCGTTAGGTACAAGTGTTGCACATTTTACATTTCAAATTAGTAGTAGTATTGGTACTATGTTCAGAACTATATTGTAACTGAACATGTAATGGAGTGTCTTATAGTTTATCACGGTATACTACAGATATGCATAAATGATAGAATCATCGCATTCAAATCAGAAATTCATTGGGTGTTGTATTCGCACACGACAATTGCACATGTAATTATCGTACACATACAAATACAGCTGTGACAGCATGGCACCCTTACTTACTTACCCTTCGCTACCTACCACCTGTGTGCCATGTCTGATAACAACTAGAACCAATCATAAGATAAAATACATATACAGTCATCTTGAAGTGAAATCTGCTTTCTCTTTTCGCATCCCCCGTGCAACGACCCAAATGGGAATACCATATGCTGAATTGCAGATGATAGCGTGGACTCATGTCGCATATCTCGTGCGCTTCTTCATGCCCCACACTATGTGCGGGCAGCGAAGCTATAACTTCCTCCCTCGTCAGCTGTAGATTAGACGTGCCCTATTGGTATGACGGTCGAACTACGTCTGTGCATAGCGTGGGGTGGACATTCCAAATCAAAAGGATCACTGCGCGTGCTTAGCCTGGCCATGGGCTCGCAGGCTTCGAGCTCGGCCGCGGTGAACGGGTAGCTGAGTCGTTGCAGGCTACTACCCGCGCTGCTCCGCCCAGGTAGGTGAAGTGTACTCCCTAAGCTGCGATCACTGTGCATGGAATACCAGGCAGTTGACGTGGGTCGCTGCGACATGTATGATTGCCGTATGACCACAGTGTGGCTTGGAGCTGCATCGGCGAACGGGTTGCGAAGCGTCCCCGCGTTGCTGGGCACGCCGCTGCCACGCGACACATATTTAATCTCCGCAGAGTCTAGGAAAGGGTTTGCATCGGAGAGGAGGTTGGGACCGGAAGGGGTCCGATGCGCTTGGTAGCTCTTGGCCGGAAATACTGGGAACATAGCGCGCAGAGGGCTGGAGGGGGTGGAGGAGTGATCGGTGAAAGATGACCCGCACGACTGATATACTTGATGAGAGCCTGCCGAGGAAGCAGCCGGACTGCGGTCATCATCTTGCAGATGTTCTTCACTCGTGCCAGTGGCCAGCTCGTCACGGGGCTTGCGCCGCTTGTGACGCATCACGAAATAACCTATTGCAAGCGCAAGAGCAACAAAAGCTACGCCTCCTAGAACGCCACCCAAGATTGCGCGCAGTGAGGCGTGCGAGCCACCATGATCAGATTGATTTATGTAGCCATGCGACGAGCTATTGGCTGAAGTGACAGCGCTAGTTACTGCCGAGTGTGGAATGAACGAGGTAGAGGTGGTGTGGGGGTACTGTGTCGTTGACGTCGTTGACGTTATGGAGCTTAGCACAGAGGTGGAGGAGTCTGATGTCGGCGGCTGTGTTTGATAGCTTGATATTGACCTTGTCTGCGCCGATACCGGCATATGGAAATGAGTGCCATCCTCTGTATGTGTTTGTATGAGATTGTAGTCGCTAGGATCTGCTAGGGTCACAGATGCAATTGTCGTAGGCTCGACCACCGAGTCAACAACCGATGGTTGTAACGACTGAGTAGTCGTGGCATCTGTAAGAACTGCTGAAGCTGCAGCTGTTGAGTGCCATGTATTAGACGCAGAGGGCTCGATGGACAATGAGCTTTCGGTCGTAGACGCGGGGACCGAATTCGTGAATAAGGGAGAGGACGCAGCTGAGGTGAAGGAGGAACTGGTGATTACTGGCGCTGAAGACACAAATATATTGGAGTGTCGAGGAATTTTAGTTGCACATCTCGAACTCTGATGGAGAACCGCAGAGCTCGACCTGGACATGTCGCCAAGCCCGCAGGCCGGAGGACGCAAGAAGTACTTTGCTGGATCAAGGAGGGGAAGAAGAGAAGAACGTGGCCTGCATGAAGAACCAGGTATGATAATAAAGTGAAAAAAAGAGGGAATCCCTGGATTTGAGGCCTCTGGCGCGTAAACGAGCGGGGGAGGCCGCGGCAATGGTAGCAGCAGCAGCAGTAGTACTTGATGTTGTAGTAGTGAATGACCGGCTCACGAAGGTATGGAAAGAGTGAACAAACGGAAGCCGTGGATACAGTCAGAGAAAGCAAATACACACATGCTAAGCCCGACTCATTGCTGAAATTCTCTACCGGGAGGAGACGGGCAGGCCATGACAGCAGATGTCAGAGGCAATAGCCTGGAGGTGGTGCACCCGTTTCAGGATAGGCTGGTGAGGCGGGAGGGCCAAAAACGCGTGAGATTTCGATCACACGTGAAGAAAGAAGAGAGATTCAGATATATTGAAGAAGCTATGGAAAAAGAGAGAGGCTGTGAAGGAGCAGGGATGAGAGCGAGAAGAGAAGAGGACCAGGGACCCTGGAAACAAACAAAAAGAAGAAGCGCATTGTGTTTGGCCAAGCGCCATGTACAGGTGAACCAACAAACCGGCTGTGACGAGAGGAAGCAGGGGGGAGGTTGAAAGAGATTGCTGCCCTTGAGGAAGTGGATGAAACCGCAGTCATCCAAGACATCCAATCCGCGATGCAGCGGCAGCTCTGACGAAGGTGCTGGGCGGCATTAGTCGCTGGCCAGAGAGGGGGGTTTAGGCCCCTCGCCCCTAGCGTTATGTTAACTAACGGCCCTTGGGGGGTGGTGGTCAGGAACCACCAGACGTTGGAACGGGTCTCATTGGATTATGGAAGGGGGTGGGGAGGGGGATAAGCCTAGAGAACCAAAGTCAGTCACAACATGGAACATCGAATGGATTCATCTATCTGATGGAGCTGAACCGTGGAGGAAGGGAAAGAAGGATAGATGGATAGATGAATAGTAGATAGATGGGAGAGGGAGAAGATGGAGATGGAGATGGACGAATTGATTGGCGCAATTGCCCTGATTGGTTTAATTAGATAATTGTGAGGAAAATGTGATTGGCAGATATTCATTGGCTGAGGGCGACCATCAAGTGGGGGCCCCGTGACTGAGTTACTCTTTTAGGACATCCCAGTCAGCCACCGCTAATCCACTTCCACATTAGTGCCATCATGTGCAGGCTGAGTCAGGATAATCTAGCCTGATTGGGACAGTTCCCATCTTTCGGATGAAGAATTGACCAGTTGGTCTGGGTTTGGACGATTGACATTGACAGTTGTAGTGGCATCTACGGGGTGCAAATTAGACCTAGACTCAATTCTCTGGTTTCAAATTTCACTGGATCACCCACGAGGGGCCCTGGATGATGTATATGTATGTATGCGTGATGATATCCCCGGATAAGGACGGGGTGCACCTGCGCAATAGTCAGAAGACGAGAGAGAGAGAAAGACAAGGATTGCCACCGCGGGACTTGTGATCTCCATCTTCCCTTCCAGGGATCACATCTACTATGGAGTGCTGTCCCCTCCTTCACCCAGAATTTGGGGGATACGTATTGGTCGAAACGCCATCAGAAAAAGGTGGATCGGAAGTCAATTGACATCACAGCCAGAGAGAATGTTCCGTTCTTTCGCAAGAGCCCAAGAATGGGAAAGGCGCTGGGCAGCCATGGTTATCCCCTTACTTTTCTCCTTCCCCCGCAATATTGGGCCCGGGGAAATCGCCAGGTACCTTTCACGGATGGGTAAATTGGGTCCCAGAGGCAAAAGTGTTAAGAGGAATCCCGGAAGTGTGAAATGGATGGATGGTATTGGGGATAGATGGGAAGAGAGGAGAGAGAAAAGGGAATGGACTGAATGGGTCCAACTCCACTTGGAGGGGAAGGAGAATGATGGATTCCAATGAAGCTCGGGAGTGTCAAGGAAGGACTAACGAGAGAGGGCTAAGGCAAACTGGAAGGCGACTAAACCATTTGACCATTTGACCTTCTTTCTTCACTGCTACTACTAGACTACTTACTATCTTATTTCTATTTCAATGCATGCACTTCCTTCCCCTCTCTCTTCCTACTCTCTCTCTCCACTGCCATCATCGCCTTTATCCAACAATCATCCACCCAACCCTCCACACATTCGGCCATCCAACAATTTCCAACTCAGCCACTAGTTAACCAAGTTTCTCATTCTTCCCGCTGACTGGTTCATCTACTTCCACTACTTGATTTCCGCCCTCTTATTTGTCTTTCCTCCGTGTGCCTCGTGCTTCTTTTTATTCTCCCCCACTGCCGGTTAGCCTCACATCGCAGAGTGATGAACTAAACCGACTCAGCCTCTGTCTAGTGCTGAGATCTCGCATCGCATCCACCGTCGCATCCCTTCTGAACTGTTGATTCGACTCGATTCGGCGCATAGTATACTACTAGAGAAAGATCACAAACACAACCCATCAGTTGGTTCCCGTTCCGCCTTCCCGCAATCTAATTACGGCATCATGTTTGGCTGGTGTAGTACCTTGGGTAAGCTTCTCCCTCCCGCTCGGCCGTCAATCGCCCTCCCCTTGCATCCTTTAGATTCGTCTCGTCTTTTGTGCGCTCCCTTCTACTGGCGTGGGCCCATCAGAAGGTGGTTAAAGTGGTAGTGGTGGTGTGATGCTGGAGAGACCCGGTCGCTGAGCCGGTCGCGCTTTGTCCCATCAGTCTCCAGCTGCTTCTAGGAGCCAACTGAATGGCCCCCAACCCTCCAGGCCTGCTGTCAGCCAGGCCGACTGACCTGAGCGCACTCATAGAGTTCAACCCCTAATACTGACACGCGATGCAGGCCTACCCTCCGTGAGTTCCGAACCGGAGAAAGAGCGCCGTCCTCCTCCCGCCCCCACACCCCTTGACTTCCCCGTTTACCACCTGCCGGAACTTTCGGACAAGGACCCGGACGCTACTTTGTCGAGACTGAGTGAAGTGCTGGCGTCAATCCGACGGCCACAGGATATCAACCCGCAGAAATTCGAGGCGCTCAATCTGAGATTAGAAGAGAATGTGTCCGCAGCAGACATCGTTCGTCCGAGCGGGTCAAACACGGCTCCTCCGCTCCCTTGGGATAACTCGTTAGCCCGCTCGTCCCCGGTGGATGAGGATGGCTGTCCCATCCTGATGGACAATGGCAATTCATACCCCTCCCGAGACCGATTCGAGGCGTTGCAGAACGAGCTCCTGCTGGATAACGATGACGCTTTCAGAGAGGTGGGCAGACTGCCGCCCCGCGAGGGCCGTCAAAGGGTGCGTGTGGCTCAAACGAGGAAGTTCTGGACCGGCCTGGAACGGATGGCTCAATACTGGGACACCAGTTTGGACGAGTATTACGAGCGCCCGAAAACGCCGCCCCCACCGGCAGAGCAGGAAGGCGCAGACAAAATGCAGACGGATGGGGATGCTCAACTGCCAGCGGCGCAAGATCATACGGAAACGCCCATGGACGTGGACCTAGCGCCGCCTGCAGAAGCGACAAAAGACGGTTCTCAGGCGCAGCCAGATACACAGCAGGAAATGGTTACTATGTACAAGGGTCGCCGTCTTGGTGCCGGACAGGAGATGCCCGAGGATGTACGTGAGGAGACCGTTCGAGCGTTGGCCGAAATGGCTGCTTGGCCCTTTGGCTGCCAGGCGGCCCCTCCTATCTCCCCACCTCGGCTGGCCGTGAAGACTTTGCTCTTTCCTGTTCGACACACCTTCCAAACAGCACGATCGCCAAAGGACCGTCAACTGGCGCGGAGCGGTATAATGGAGGGGCCTATCTTTGCCGCTCAGTGCCGACCTGAGACCTCATGGCGCGGGCCACATGATGCCCCAGGCTCTGGCATGGGAGAGGTGTGTGATTTGCTTCGGGAGGTGGGTGCCATGCTCCTGACAGCTCAGGAACGGGCGAGACAAGGGGAAGCAGAGGTGAGACCAGGTGAAGGCAAGTGGTGGACAACCGTGCCCCGATGGGGCGGCGCTCCCAACGACTCCGTCAGTGACAATGAGAAGGAGACACATGGGGAGGACAAGCTGCCATCCGAGTCGGGATACGCTCGCAAGCGCTCCAAGTACGAGCACCCGTTCCTCGCATCGCGTCGACCGAGCTCTGCGCGAAAAATGAGCAACAGCGACAGGTGGAAGATTATCCAGCCTGGACCCGGTCTTTGGGACAAGCGGATGCGGTATATACAGATTGGGAAGCCGCTCGACAGTGCATTTGACGATGTAAGTGGCCTGCTTTGATCATACTTTGTCTGGGTTCCATGGATAGGACTAACTGAAACGGCAGATCTACCTATTGTCCTCCATCAATCATCATGTGTCGATCCTTCATCTGCGCGTACACCGACGATATCTCGAAGTCATCACCAATGGGTCCAGCAACTTCCCGCCTGTAACCGACACGCCGGAGCAACCGTGGCATGTTCTACAGCTACGACGCACCCGGTGGTACGACCTGTTCAACGGCGAAGACCGTGTGGAAGTGCTGAAGGGCATTTGGCGCATCTTCCACTACCTTCTTCGACAGCAACCGGAGACTCAGTTTCTGAACTGAGGCTAGGTTGATGTTAGTATTTGACTCTTTTGTTTCATATACCACTTTGTTTGCATTTGATATTAGACGACCAGAACCAGTGTCTACATTGCATGGCATGATCAGAGTGTATTATGACGGCTTGATGTATTTCATTATGACATTCAGTTGGCATTTGCTTTGGGTTTCAGCGGCTGAATCATGTTCCTGTCTTAGATTGACTAGACGATTGAAAGACTGTTCCACAATAGAAACGCATGATGTTGCACAAGGCCTGAAGGGGAAATGCGCTCTATTTTAGGCAAAGCGATGCATATTCTGTCGGTAACCGCGCCGTCAGTCTCAGCAGTATGAGTGAGATGCCATTGTAACCATGACACTTTCTAACAATAACAACACCATACCCGACGATCCAGAACGAACAAAAACAAATTCAAATCATCTCCACACGAACAGTCATGAGTTATTTGGCATGCATCTCACAGATAGACACCTCTCCCCACCCACCTGTGTCTGTCTACCTATGACACGCATCTCCCTCCCTCCTTTCCTCGCAGTAGCATGAGCATTAGCAGTAG